TTTTCTAGGAAATTTAAATCCCTCGTGGCGGCAGGTGAATCTCGTGCTTGCGGCTCTCTCGCAGCGATGCAGTCTGCAGCCGGTGGATAGGCGAGGACAGGACGGCCGCGGGCCGCCGCCGACCCGGCTCCCTGGCAGCCGTTCAAATCACACAACACTCTTCTTGCGGCATGGGGAAGGGCGGCATTGTATTTCCGACGCACTGCTGGGCTTTAACCCCCCCCCCCCCCTCTGCCACCACCACATCCGAGTAATGGAGGGGAAAGGGATCACTCTTTCCAACCCCCACCCTTCTCCACCCCCCTCTCACTACGACAACATCCGAATGTGAATCCCAATGTGAAATCCTCCCTGCTGCAGGCCGCCGAACGGGATGTGAATGTAAGGAAAAGGGAGTGTGGGAGGCATCTGACACGCTCACCGGCATCGTTCAGGACATTTCAAACGCGAAAATTAAGTAAACTTCTACGGACTCGATATGGGAGTTTATTGAACAATCGTTCAATGAACACGTCGTCGTGACTTTTAGGTCGAGGAGACATACATTGCGTTTGTTCCATTCATGACCATGACCACACACTGGCCCCGTACAGTGCGTCGTCCACTCGGCGGCGGTCACTACTCGGCCCCTCTCTCCCGCCTCTCGCGCGAGTAATGGGGCCCGCTCCTTTAGACGTTTGTTTAATACATGAAGGAAAGATCCTCGCCTCAGAGTGCAGGCCGGCAGCACACACACATACACATACACACACACACACACAGAGTCTCCTCACTGCATGCGGATATCCACCCGGGAGGGGGGGGGGGTCGTTACACACAGTAAATACCCAAGTGTGTGAATGTCGCACACTTGTGAGCGTGTATGGATTTGCCATTCGTACACTAGACGGTACAAGGCAGTGTGGAATTCCAAGGATGTTACACACCGTCACAGGGGTCACAGGCACCCTAGAAAGTATTTATTACACAAACACAGAAAAAAAAAATTAGGAGATTTGAAAGTTAACACTTCTCTGCCAAACTACTACCCTTCAAAATACTAACAAGGGGATGACAATTAAATTTGTTTCAAAAATACACATACCCACATTTTTTAACCATTTACTTGGAGAAGTAGGTCGTCGGGGTCTGATGACGCGGCCCAAACCACGTGGTCGAAAGTAAACCCCACGGCAGGTGACTTACGTTCCTTTCGGTCTGGAGAGTAGCGTCGTCGACGGCGGCGTCCCCCCCACGTAACCACGCACGCATCACACGAGGCTGACCAGTTCGGAAGAAAGTAATACATATCCGAGCCTTATCAGATATATATCCGGGGGA